CAGGGCACTTCAGTGGTGGGTCCCGGAGCAGAAGGACCCCGCTGCCGAATTGCCACCAAAGACCCGGAGCGGAAGAAGCTCCGGGGGCCCGGGCCCCACGAGAGTTTTCCGGGGCCCCTGGAGCAAGTGAAGGACCCCGCTCCAGGGCCCCCGAAAAACTCTCGTGGGGGCCCCTGCGGGGCCTGGGGCAAATTTCCCCACTTGCTCCCCCCTCTGGGCGGCCCTGGTGATGGACGAGAGTGACACATCAACCAAATCTGATCATGAGCAGTTCCGGTTCTCTTTTAGTGGGGTAGGTCTTTGCTCATTTAAAAGTTTCCCATGCCAGACTGAGCCTTCTGCCAACCGTGTCCAGTGACCCTTGAGGGACAAGATGCCATACAGTGGGTTGGAGAACCAGTGTCAGCTCTAAGAATACCCTGTACAGCCCAGCACATGTGATGGGAAACAGTAAATCTGCAAACAGCTAATAAACCCAAATTCTCCTCATTCGTTCCAGTGGGGCCTCTAAACAAGTCCAGCAGTGTGTCAATGTTAGCACGCTCGCCAGGTGCTGAGTAACTGAGCACCGCAAAACTCATTTGTCTATCAAAAGCTCTGGGTGGATCTATTGCCCCTTTGGCCAACAGGGGTGCTCCTCTGGGTCTTCCATCTGCAGAACGCCTCGGAAAAGCCATGTGCTATTAATTATCTGTACCGCAGTAGCACCGAGATCCCCCTACCTGAGATTGAGGCCCCCCCATGCTGCTAGAAGCTCTACGCTCACATTACAAAAATATGACAGTCTCTGCCTCAGAGCATGTGACAATAGACAGCTGAAGAAAATAGACACATCGGAGAGAGGAACAAGGTACAAGGGAAACCATGAATAGGTAGCAGTGTCAGGAGAGAGAGGTCCACCCCTGGCCACTGTTCTTCTCCTTACCTTCCAGTCCCTACTGCATGGGTCGCGAAACAGCAGCAGCAGCTACCCACAGAGGAGAGGTAAGACTTAGGAGACTCCCTGTTTATCTTCATCCTGTGGAAGGAAGCAAAGGGACAGGGAGGCCCCAAAACTCACAGGAGGGGAGGAGCAGTGAGTCTATGGCATGCTTCCGTGCAGGGCCGGCTCTAGGTTTTTTGCTGCCGCAAGCAAAAAAAATTTTGACTGCCCCCACCCCAGCCCTGGGCTCTGCCCCCCACCACCCGCACCACCCCAACCCTGGGCTCTCCCCCCCCCCCACCTGCACCCTCTGTCACCACAACACTGGGCTCTCCCCCGCTCCCGCCCCAACTCTGGGCTTCCCGCCACCAGTGCTGACTCTGCCCACTCCACCCTCGCCTCCAGCCGGTCCAGCGCTGGCAGGGTTGGGGTAAGCAGCAGGGCTCCCAGGCCGTGCCTCAACCCAGGGTCCCTCCAGCCAGGGCTCCCGCCTCCAGAGCCAGCCAGGACCGGGGAGGACAGAGCCGGGGGACCGCCCCAGCAGGGAGCTGAGGAGCCGGGGCAGGGCAGCCCCAGAGGGAGTGGAGCCCCGGAGAGCGGGATGCGGGCAACACACAGCAGCGCCCCGCCCCTTCTGCTGCTCCTGGCCGCCCTGCCGCAGTCCCTGGGCGGCTCTGGCCACTTCGCCCAGCCCCGGCACTGGGGGGGCGGCCACCTTGCGGCACCTGCAGGTAGCTCCGTGTGCCCCGAGGGGCGGCCCCCAGCCGAGTGTCCCGCGCTCGGAGCCCGCCCAGTCATAAGGTGCGGGTGCTGCTCCCCGACGCGAACCGCAGCGGCCCCAGGGCACCCTCGGTGCAGGACGGACTGCTGCTGCCAGAGCCGGCTCTAGGCTTTTGCCGCCCAAGCGCCAAAAAAAAAAGAGGCTGGCTGGAATGCCGCCCCTGAAAATGTGCTGCCCCAAGCACCTGCTTGGTTTGCTGGTTCCTGGAGCTGGCCCTGCTTCCGTGTCCACTCTGGGTGGCTGGGGCCCAGACGGAGCATTGTAAAAGTAGCGGCAGAGCTAGGGAGCTGCTGCTCCGTGTGGTAGGTAGTGCCTTGTTCCACAAGTGGCTGGCTTCAGGCTGGAAATGCAATGAGTATCCAGCCAGCTATCAGACTCCAGGGCAGACTCCCAGCATGGCTGTCTATATCCCCTGGGGCAAAATGAAAATTAGGCACAGCCCTGTCTCTGACTCACAGCTCAGTTCTGCTCCCCCTGGGATCAGTGGGAAGTTTTCCGTTCATTTCCCTGGGGAAAGAATAAGGCCAGGAATGCTAAAGGCTGGGGGAGGGGTGCATTGGTCACATTACTTGTTAATAAGCTGTTCTGTTTCAAGGGACTAAATACTAGCTGAAGTTGCTCAGTTGTACCTGTCCATATTAGAAAGCTTTATGGTATATCACTTTTACACCTGTGTGGTCAGTATTGCTGGTGAAAATGCTTTGGTTGAAATTATTAATACTATTTTATTTATTTTATTTTTTTTACCAAAAATTGCTTTTTTGGACAATATGAACATTTAAAATTTTCGTTTTGTCAAAAATGAAAAAGTAATACTATTAATAAATACTTCTCGGACTCCCTCGCTCTTCTATAGCACTGTTCATCAGTAAATCTCAAAGCACTTCACACAGGAAGTCAGTATTCTTATCCCCATTTTACAGATGGGGAAACTGAGGCACAAGGCGGCACTGTAACTCGCCCATGGTTATTCAGCAGGCCAGTGACTACATGAATTTAGATGCCATTCTAAATTAATGTTTTTGTTTTAATTCCATTTGATTCAAATCAAAAGGGAAAATGGGTTTTCATGTTTTTTGGTCCCTCATTTGATTTAGTCCCCCCGATTTTTTTTCCCACTGGAGAAACCAAAACCAAACGTCAATTTTTTCCCCTTTTTTCATTTGAAGCCAGTTGAATCTAAATGAAAATTTTAAGTTAGAAATTCTATACAAAAATATTTGGACAAAAAAAATAAGTCTGTGAAAAATGTTGAACAACCTGAACATGGCTTTGTTGCCTTCAAAATTTTCATGGAAAATAATTGCTGTTTTTTGACCAGACCCGGTGTTCAGTAAAGTGCTTCACTTGACTTGAGCACAGAGGGAAGGATTAAGTGGTAATAAGAAATCACCACTCTGGTACCATGTTTTAATCTCCAGCAATTTACATTTTCTGCCCCTTTTATATGAGGCGTTAACGCTATTGTTCTAAGAAACATACATGCAATGCCTTCCAGACCTGACAACAGGCTGTGTGATCCATCACTGTACGTACAGTCAAGCAGCCAACCCCTGTTCAGTGCTAGCAAACATCTGCCCTCAGAGCTCTCTCTAACTTCCCAAAGCCTGTGTGCTGAGACATCTGCCTAAATCACATGACAAGCACTTGGAAAACTGAGCTCCTTTCCCTAATGCAGTTGCCCCTTTCACCACTACAGTAAGAAAGTGTTTGGAAAGAAGAGACAGAGTGTTGTCACAAGCCACATTAGCACACATACATGCATGGAGGAACTTCGGTGGCTTCTGTAACAAAAATGCCCCCAAATGCAGGAGACTCGGCATTGGTTTGCTCGGCAAGGATTTCCTCAGTTTCAGTTAGAGGCTAAGGAATGTCTCCACTAACTGTCTCCAGATGTGCCGACTTGGCAACCCACTGATGAAACGTTACTGAGGGGACACAGGATCTACACTATCAAATTGGATGTAAGTATCTCATATTTATGTTTGATCAGGGGGACATGTTATACTAAAGGCAACGCGAACTGGAGACTCTCTTACAGTCAAGCTTTTATTTTAGTCAATCCTACAGTTTTTTGTTCTTCATAAAAGAAGCTATGCAGCTCATTTTACTGTGATTTAATATGTAGCAGAGCCAGTTAAAATGAACGGTCTCTGGCCAGCTTTGCATATAGGCTTGTGCTTTACTTCACAATAGCATCTTCTTTGCATGTTTTTAGATGTTGTTTTTTATGCAAGATGTTAGGTCTTCTTTATGGGGAGTCTTAGAGTTGCAAGAAGGGCTGTTACATTCCAAATGTAATCGTGTAAAAATATGGGCATGTTATGCTTACAAGACCTTCTTTTTTGGGTTGCACTCACAATTTTTATGCAGCCCTCTTTATCAGAGTTTCAGTGGTGTAATCTTTGGAGCTCAATCCATGTACACATAATTTTGCAAACTGTGTATCATTGTAAATGTATCTAGATTTCATTAGAATTTAACAGAATGTCACATATGACCATTTAAACAGCTTTTTTATCAGACTGTGATACTCTTACTCACACTGTATTTTATTTCATGACCATCCCATTCAAAATGATGTGGCATACTCCCAAAGTACTATTATATATGTATTTAGGGACATTGCAATATTTGCATCACAAACTGTAATAACGGTCTACAATGCTATGGAAGATGCTAATGTGAGAACTTTAAATGAATTTTAGTTGCTGTTCGCCAATGGCAGATCATCAAAAGAAGCCAGATTTATCATTTCATGGGGGATCGGAGAAAGAGGGAGAAGGAAAGAAAGCAAGTGATGCAGATTGTTGGGGGAGAAACAGAGGTTTAGCAGATGTCTCTTATTTTGAGTATCAAGAACACCCATACACTTATGTTCATAGATTCATAGATTCTAGGACTGGAAGGGACCTCGAGAGGTCAACGAGTCCAGTCCCCTGCCCGCATGGCAGGACCAAATACCATCTAGACCATCCCTGATAGACATTTATCTAACCTACTCTTAAATATCTCCAGAGATGGAGATTCCATAACCTCCCTAGGCAATTTATTCCAGTGTTTAACCACCCTGACAGTTAGGAACTTTTTCCTAATGTCCAACCTAGACCTCCCTTGCTGCAGTTTAAACCCATTGCTTCTGGTTCTATCCTTAGAGGCGAAGGTGAACAAGTTTTCTCCCTCCTCCTTAGGACACCCTTTTAAATACCTGAAAACTGCTATCATGTCCCCTCTCAGTCTTCTCTTTTCCAAACTAAACAAACCCAATTCTTTCAGCCTTCCTTCATAGGTCATGTTCTCAAGACCTTTAATCATTCTTGTTGCTCTTCTATGTTCACTATACTATAAACGCTGTAGCATTATTCTGGAGCTTAGGGAGCATGTGGGTCAAAGTTTTCAAAAACAGGAAGCTAAAGGCAGGCTCCTAATTCCATATTAAGCTGTGTGGCACGGCACCTCCTTCGTTTTGCCAGACTTAGCACTTCTGCCCCTGGCGATGGTGGGCCTGGGGTAATCAGCCCCACTCAGGACAGGGTTTGCCTCCCCCCCTTCTGTGCTCCCTTGGTCCCTGAGGGTTGGCCTAAGGGGTGACCCTCCACCAAACAAAAAGGAAACAGTCTCAAACACAAAACCCCAGGGGTACCTTTCGCTGCCTCCTCTCTGGTGCAGGGTGTCATCCTGTTGGTTGCCCTGGGGTGTCAGCCCTTCCCCTAGCAGGCATTCAGGTCTGGCTGTTTCCTCTATGGAAGGAGCACAGCCTCTCAGCCTGGAGTAGCTTATTTCTCTGCCGCCTTTAGCCTGGCAGCTGCTTGTCTCTGTCTCTTCCTCTTTTCTTTGCCCAGAGGAGGGGATTTTAAAGGCCTCAGGCAGCCCTTAATTGGATTCAGGGGTCCCTAACTGACCTGAGATAACCCCTTCTCAGGGGGCCTTTAACATTCCAGGGCTAACATCTCGGCCTTCCCAGACCCTCTTGCACTTCCTTCCCTTGTGTCCCACCCTGACACTAAATGGCGGGACCTAATGTCATCTGTTGAGGGTGAAGAACCCCGGTGGGCCAGCCTATATTCCACCTTGGCCCTATGGCCCGCCAGGGATATCGGTTGGCGGCTCCTACATGGAGCCGTGAGCACGGGCGTGTACCTGCCACGGTTTGCGTCCCTTCCCGATACTTGGCCCTTTTGCAGCATGAGGGAGACCCTGGCGTATGCCTCTCTTGAATGTGCCAGGCTGCAGCCCCTATTCCGGCTCTTAGACCTCCTTTGACGTTTTTGGCTGCTCTTCTCCCCCCATCTTCTTATATATGCACACCCTGTCCATGGCCCCACAAAGTCACGGGACCTCCTCGTCAACTTCCTCTTAACGATGGCCAAAATGGCCATCTATAACACCAGGGAGAGGAGGTTGGCTGAGAGGGTTCTCTGCAACTATGTGGCCTACTTCCGATCTTCTCTCCGCTCACGCATCCGGGCAGAGTTCCTCTGGGCAGCGTCCACTGGCTCCCTTGACAACTTTGGGAAGCAGTGGGCACTCTCCAGGGTTCTCTGCTCGGTGTCCCCGTCAGGTTCCCTACTTTTGACCCTTTGACCCACACACCTATTATTTTTTTCAGTTGCCCCCCATAATTATTTGAGTCGCAGGCTCAGCAGATCCTCCCCATAGGCTGGGGCGGGGGGGGGAGGGAGGAGGGACCTTGCGCCCGCCCACCTCTCAGAACCCAGTATGAAGAGACCCTCTTGCAGCCGTCTGGCCCGACTTTATCACAACTGCTATGACAAGTGGCCCAATTTTCCAAAGTGCTGGGCACCTCTGGGCTTCAGCGGGAGCTGCTGGGCACTAAGCAGGTCTGACACTCAGACCATTGTTCCTACATAGGAGCCTAAGGACAGATTTACACACCCACCTCGAACACTGACATTTATAAAAATCTTGGCCATATGCTGCAAACCACCTGGACTTCTCTTACATTTCAGGTTAACAAAACAAACAACCAAACCACCCCCCCTTTGATGAAAGGAGCAGCCAATAATCGCTGGATCTGGAGTTTATTCTAATATTACACACCAAGGGCCGGATTGGGAAGGCCCCCTAAGGGGTGGTTCACAGCACCAGGGATTTTCCCTTTCTCTCCCACTCCTCATTCTTCAGTAGCCTGCAGACGTGCCTGTCATAATTTCAGAATGGCAGTGCTGGTACTTGGAAGTGCACCGGAACTGCTCTGTCAGCCTGCCCCCTGCCCCAGGGCACATGATGCCCTGAAAAGGGTAGTGGGGGACAGGGTCATGGCCTCCCAACCTGCACCAGCCTATGCACTGGACCACGACTGGCTGCCCTGAGCCTGCCCTCTTGCTCTGCCACCAGGGGCACCGGGTGCCCTGAAGGTTGCGGAGGCAGGTGAGGAGGGTCAATTGCCCCACAACCCGGTCTGGCACTAATGCACAGGGTGGGCCAGCCACACTATGGGCAGAAAGATGGAGCAATCCCAGACCACTTGGGGGAGAAGGTGGTTGTGGTCCCAGAGGCACAATCTCTCCTCAACCTTCCCATGCGGTGGGGCAGCCCGGCAGCACCTGCTGCTCAGGGCGTGGTGAAATACTGTAATAGCCCCTACAGACCAAGGCCTGTGAATGGCGCGTGTCAGAGACACAGAAATAGCGCCCGATCCTGTAACCCTCACTCATACAAGGCCGATCTGCGTGAGCCCAAGCCCTTGTGAGCACCCTGAATCGTGGTGGCTTCAGTGGGAGTCATGGGCCCTCAGCAAATGCAGATCCAGGGCTCCAGGGTTGGGCCCAACAGCTGCAACTTGGGTTTCCCCCCCCCCATTTAATTTGGGGTTTATTTTACAATATTTTGCAATCAGAAAACTGCTCTGGAGGCAGCAACTGCTTTCCAGTTTTTGCATTTGATAAGCTGATTGAATACAACATTTGGAAACTACAAACCGATAGCCAGATAGCTTTGCCTCTGAAACGCACCCAGCTAGCCTCCGAAACCGTTTGAGAGCTTTCCTCAAAATCCAATTTGTGTATCAGTGGCATTGAAAAGGAATGACTAATAGAGCTGATAGGTGAAATGAGAGGCTCTGTGATGAAATCTGACCCACCAGAAAAAGGAAAAAAACAGCTTGAAAACTAATGGGACTAATTGCACTTCATAGGATTATTGCCAATGGACAAATTAATGAGAATTGTAGCATCCTGTCCTGCAATAATCTTGATTATATCAGTTAAAGTGTGCTAGCGTGAGAGGCAGCTCACACAGGGGTTTTGTAAGGTCTTTTGAGTAGGCACCATTCTCTTTGTTCTGTGTATATACAGTGCCTAGCCCCACGGTCTCTAGGTGTCACAGCAATACCAATAGTAAATATCAATAACAAGAGTTGTACATTTTAAAGGTCCAGAGCTCTGCAGAAGGGTCACCCTGGACAAACCACATCTCCTTTCATGGCCGAAGGCTTAAAACTCCTGGCCTGCTCATGCGTGGGGTTTAATAGTAACAGCACAATGCCAATGCTATCTGCCATAGTGGCGCCCAGGGCTAGTACTATAGTAGTAGTCATTATTTGTATGGTGGTAGCACCTATGAGATCTATTCATGGACCAGGACCCCCATCGTGCTAGGAGCTGATCAAAGCCCACTAAAGTAAATGGCAGACTTTCCGCTGAGTTCCAGGGGCTTTGGATCAGCCCCCCGGCTTACTGGAAAAACTGTTTAAACATGTTCAGCTAAAAAAAGCACATTTTCAAAGTTTGTTTATGGATTTATAAACTTCAGGGACCTTCATGAGGCTGGTTTTTTTAATAAGTTAGTTTACTGACTTCCTTTGCCAGGGCTTTATACTACATTTGCCTGGCTTCCCAACAGGCTGTATTACAAAGCATCTCGTTCCTAACTCAGCCGAGATCAAACCACAACGCTTTGCTTTGCAATGGTATAACTTCAAATTAGACCTCCTCCCGAGGTA